AGAAAGAAAGAAAGGTTACACACACAATGGGCCGCTTCTCTAATCTTCACTGTTAACATCTCATGAAACTCACACTGATACAGTGTAAACCAAAAAAGATTTATTTTTGTTTAATGTGTACGAGTTTTGACTGCATGTATGCACATGTAACATGTGAGTGTTTGGTGCCTGTGGGGGCCAGAAGATGGTGTCATAAACCTGGAACACATCCATACCCACGCATACACTAAATAAACAAAACTAAAAAGAAATAAAAATATATAGAAAAGGGGGGGGGAGCCAGGCCTTCATGAAAGAGCAGACTATTAGCTGATTTGAGAATATGGATGCCAAAACTTGTACAATGATGTAAAACTTTCCCTAATTGAAAAGGTAGAAGCAATAAGCTAGTGTTCCTCATACAGGACAAATGGATAAGCAAAATGTTGTATACACAGATAACAGAATATGCCATAACCTTTAGGAAAACATTTTCAGACTGCCATAACGCCTTTAATCCCAACACTTGGGAGGCAGAGGGAGGTGATCTCTGTGAGTTCTAGACCAGCCTGGTCTACAAAGTTTCAGGACTGCCAGGACTGTTACATAGAGAAACCTTGACTCTAAAAACAAAACAAAACAAAACAAAACAAAACAAATCACATTTATTACATCACTGTAGAACCATGAAAAGGTTTGGTGTGTAGCTCTGTTGGTACAGTGTTTGTCTGGTGTATATGAAGACCTGAATATGATCCCTTGTACTTCCTAAACTGAGCATGGTAGTACATGATTATAATCCCAGCACTGGAAAGGTGGAGGCAGAAAAGTAAGTAGCTGAAAGTCGTCTTCAGCTACACAGTGAGTTAGCTGGGGCTACATGAAACATAATCTAGAAAAACCAAACAGATGAAAATAGTTCTCCAGATGAATGATGGTGGTGGTAGTGGTGACAGAGATGCCACAACCAGGGCAATGCACTGCACTAGGAACCTAAAGGGGATAAACAGGCTCTCATACCACTAAGTACACAGACAGCACCAGAGCAAGTGAGAGCTGGGAAGGCTCTGGGCTGAGGAACACCATTCAACACAAGCAAAGGAGATCCTGAGGATGCAACACACTCTTCTAGTTCTTTGAGAACTACATAATTGTGGTGCACAAACATACATGTGAAACACCTACACATATAAAATAAAAATAAATAAATCTTGGAGCTGAAGAGATGGCTCAATGTTATGAGTACTGGCTGCTCTTCCAGGAGACCTGAATTCAATTCCCAGCACCCGAATGGCAGCTCACAATGGTCTGTAACTCCAGTCCCAGGGAACCCAACACACATGCTTTCTGGCATCCTCTGACATTGCACACACGGTGCGCATACATATATACAAGCAAAACACTCATACACATACAACAAAAATAAACTTTAATAAAAAGGTTAGTCTCAGTTTAATAATGCTAATTATTCTATCATAGTTTAAATTCTGACTAAATAAATAATCGCACAGACTAGAACCTCACACTCTCTCTAAGTGACAGAACTGGCTCGCTGTCACTGTTTCTGGTTATGCTAAGATACGGGGTTCTATAGAAGAGGAGCTGGGCATATGTGGTCCACAAGACCCAGCCACAATCAGTCTTCACAGGATTCTTTGGGCAGAAGCACTGCATACATTTTCTTTGCTTTGGGGATAGTATGTTCTGTGTAATCATGAAATGGGGAGAGCATTAAGGAAGCTGGCACATGGATTCCTCCAGAGTCTGCCCATGTACATCTCCTTTACGACCTGCCTGTCTATTTTTATTATGTCTCTGGAATAAATATTAGCTGTGAGCACTACCATATGTCAATCTGGAAAAGGAACCAATCTACAAACACAGGGCAGTATTAGCGACCCCTGACACACTGCCATAAATGCAAACAATTCAAATGTTTATCAAAAGCCAAAATGTATAAACTGTGCTATAATAAAACAGTACAACAAAATGATGGTAACTCATGCCTAAAATCCTCGTACTAAGGAGGTAGAGGCAGGAGATCAAGAGTTCGAGGTCCTAGACTACACAGAGTTCAAGATCAGTTGCCCTACATGAGACCCTGTTTTTGTTGGAGATAGGGTCTTATACAATGCCTTGCTGGACAGAAATTATTTAACTTAGGATAATTTTGAACTTCTGATCTTTATGCATAAATATCCAGAGTACTGGGATTGTACCCAGGACTGTGGACACTAGACAATCTACCAACTGTTTCCATGTACTGCCCTCCTGAACCCCAGGGGTTTTCCCTAAGTTATATTTTGAGAGGAAATGCAACTTTAAGGACTAGTACAATAATGCAGCTTTTCATCATCAAGAGAAGTTAAGATGTGGGAAAGACAACAGAATGCTTTTATCAGGAGTGAATCTTAAGAGTATTTCATTTGGAAACACTGAGAACTGGCAGCACTTCCCTTATAAATTGAGAATATTCAATATCACCCAGATGGCAACATAGAAAGTTAATCCTCTATAAGCAGGCTCACTCAGTATAGAAAGAAAAACTAAAGAAACTATGCACATGGAGCTGAACAACATAACTACATAGAAACTATTTAGTTCATTAAACTTTTAATTTTATAAAATATTGTTTTGAAAATTAAAATTGGTTTGCAAATAATGTACCAGCTACTGAATATGCTGACATAAAACAAACCTTCTATTAACTTGGTTGGATTTCAGCAGGCCTGCTGAAAGCTGTTTAAGACAAATCCAAAGCTGCTTACTAGAATTAAATCTGCACCTTGGATAATAAGACACATTATAGATTCTTTGGCAAATAAATACTGCTATGAAATCGATAATTCAACAGCTTTTAAAAATCTGTTGAACAGCTAACGCAGTCCATACTATCTACATGGTTTGGGAATGAGCAGGAATATCGTAACTTCTTAGGCAGCTGGTGAAGGTGAAGCCATACTTACCACCAATGCTAGAACAAGAGTCCGAACCTTCTCGCCAATCTCAGGTGAGATGTCATTGCCGAACTGCTGCAGAGTAGTGAGAAAGCGTTTCAACTTGCTGAGCTGCCGGGCACCACAAGTAGCTGGCAACTGTTGATTTGTTAGTGCAGAGGACGTGGAAGAGGCAGGACCATTGCTGAATCTCTGTGGTGGTGATGGGGCACCATTCAGGGTAGGAGGGGAATGGTTGATGCCATTGCTTACTAAAAGAAAGCCAGAATAAGAAGATTCGATTCAGTTGAAGTATGGAACGTAAGAGTCTTTGCTGACTTCTTCCCCTTTACGGTCTCTTTTACTACTCATTTGAATTCTGTAAAGCATTTTTGTATTTAAAAAAACAAAACAAAACTCGCTCCCATCATCAATGAGACTGCTGTGTACTAAGACAGACTATCAAGAAAAAATGAGCTGGTCGGTGATTGCGCGTGCCTTTAATCCCAGCACTCGGGAGGCAGAGGCAGGTGGATCTCTGTGAGTTCAAGGCCAGCCTGGTCTACAGAGCGAGATCCAGGAAAGGCGCAAAGCTACACAGAGAAACCCTGTCTCGAAAAACGAAAAAAAAGAAAAAAGAAAAAAAAAAGAAAGAAAGAAAAAATGGCAACAGAATATTGTACAAGTGTTAACATCTAAGTATGATGATATGTGCTTGTGTTGTAGTCATGGCTACTAGAGGGCTGCAATGGGAAAACTGTGTATGCCCAGGAATAGGAGGCTAGCCTTAGTAACATAGCAACATTTCATTTAAAGCAAGCAAGCAAGCAAGCAAACAAACAAACAAATAGATGGAATGGGAGATGGGAAGGCAGGATAGAGAAGGGAACATGGGAAAGATAACATTAAAGTAACATTAAAGGCCTTTAAAAAGGTCATAGAAAAACTTAATATTGTAAAGCTGGGTGGTGGTGGTGGTGATGGTGCACTCCTTTAGTCCCAGCACTTAGGGGGCAGAGCCAGGTGGATCTCTGTGAGTTCAAGGCCAGCCTGGTCTACAGAGTGAGTTCCAGGACAGGCTCCAAAGCTACACAGAGAAACCTTGTAAAGCTGGGTGGTGTTGGTGGTGGTGGTGGTGGTGGTGGTGGTGGTGGTGGTGGTGGTGGTGGTGGTGCACTCCTTTAGTCCCAGCACTTAGGGGGCAGAGCCAGGCGGATCTCTGTGAGTTCAAGGCCAGCCTGGTCTACAGAGTGAGTTCCAGGACAGGCTCCAAAGCTACACAGAGAAACCTTG